AGTGTTGCCGTTATTGAATTTTCATTTGTATTTTACCCATGTTTTTTTCTTTCTTTTTTTGCACCTAGAGTTCATTGAACTGTATTTTACATTGTTTACCATTTTCACCGTATATCAACAATATTATTTACAAATTAGTTGTATAATAGAAACCCCGAATGTAATGGCTGAATGGGCTTTCAGGGTATATGAATAAACAAATACTGCGCTAATAATAAAATAGTAGATAATAAAACAAAACAAGTAGTTTAATGTAATTTCTGCACTCAGTATACTGAGTGCAGAAAACTCCTTCCCTTGAAACTATAGCTTCAAGGGAAGGAGAAGTTGCACTTAAGAAGGGTGGACATATTGCGCCAGAAAGCGGAAACAGCCATGCAAAGGGCTCGTCGTAAATGTTTATGACAGTAGTAACCCGTACTGCACATACCACATGCCACTAAGATAACCTTGGACCGTGTCTTTCACATGAGCTTTACTTTACGATTGCCCCATGACTGTGAGAGTGACAAAGAGCCTACACTACGCTCGCGAAGCTAATGATATTGAAGTAGTCTTTCCTCACGTTTACGACAAAATTATTACTACATTCTGGGGAATGTTTCTTTTTTTTCTAAAGCTAGATTTCAGCGCAACGGCTTACGTTAAGCAAAGCTTACTGGGCGTTCTTATACGTATGATGTCACTGGTAATCAGCAACTACTTGACGGTACACAGCAACAAAGAACTTAAAATTAAGCTAGTGCTCTTTAGAACAGCAAGCAAGAGCTTGTTAAAGTTGACACCACACACTATGGCTATACAGACATAGTAATAGACAGTGGTAAGACATGGGTGGTTTCATTCGCTAAAAGAAGAAAAGTATGAGTAGATGCACAGTGCATACTCATAGGCTGAATTTACTACAGGCAGATAAATATTTATTCCTAGCAGATCAAAACTTAAGTGCACTTACCACACCTTAGAAGTCGACATATGCTCAAACAACGGTGATAAAAGTTGCGCATTGCTGTCGTCGTTAATGGGAACAAATAGTCTTAAAAAAGGGGGAGGAGGCGTTGGAAAATGATAAAAGAATGGCAGGGAAGTCAAGTTATACTGGACAAGGCTAGCTACCACTGGCGTGGCCATGGGATATGGGAGGAGAGCGCTCTAATAGGCTTGCCAGAGGCATAAACATATAATAAAAGTGAATGCTGCGGCAATCTTGTATACAACAAAAACGTAAACAGCAAAACAAAAACGACACAAGTGATGTTAACTTTGCGTCAAATTCCTAAGTAAGTCCAAAATTTTGAATTTGAGTTCTTTAAGTATGCGAAGAAAAAAGTAAGCGAGCTGGTATGAATGACCGGCAAGCTAATGTTGCCCTTATTAGCGTGTTGGTTGTCTAAGTTGCTACATCGTTAGTGGCCCGTTATTGCAGTTTACGCTGGCGAAGACGCGAACGAGGTAATATGTAATCGGTGGTGGTAGTGGTGGTGTTGCACCAGGCGGGGTTAGCCAGGGCTAAATGACCAGCAATTGTTCATTGTGGCATCTCCTGTAATGATCTTCTGTATTATTATAAACAATTCTAACTTTACCCGTCATTCTAATACATTACATTTTGCTACACTTAAAAAGACCTCACCGCGGTAAAAAAAAGTTTGCAACCCTAAAGCCGCGTTAATTTCACGCAAATGTTCAAATTTTCCCATCAGCATCTTTTAGCAGAACGATTTTGTGAACTGTAATACTGCCGAGTATTTTGTTACAAAAGTTCAAAGAGTGTCTCTAGTCATGATTGCCTTTCATGCTTTACCTCTCACAACCCCGCCGCGGTGGTCTAGTGGCTAAGGTACTCGGCTGCTGACCCGCAGGTCGTGGGATAAAATCCCGGCGGCGGCGGCTGCATTTCCGATGGAGGCGAAAATGATGTAGGCCCGTGTGCCAGATTTTGGTGCACGTTAAAGAATACCAGGTAATCGAAATTTCCGGAGCCCTCCCACTACGGCGTCTCTCATAATCCCGTGGGGGCTTTGGGACGTCAAACCCCGCATATCAATCAATGCTTTACCTCTGTAACCACTCCCGCAAAAGCTGTTTGAGCCTTCAGTATATATATTAGAAGAAAAAAAAACTCGATATGGTAGTGTGTAGCATTTCTGTTCTATGAATATTTGTCGCTATTGAAGGACTCAATGAATATGACGTTCAGTAAGACATGTTTCAGGTCGAGTTGTCTGACCCTAAAGGAATGCTTTTTTAGCTCGTTGTATGCGAGATGCCGCTTTGGTGTGACGTACGCGTATGGAACTTCATGATGTGTCGGTGACCAAGCACGTGTGACCGTGAATTGTTCTTAGAAAAAAAAAACACACACACAAAGGTAACACGTGCTTACCTGCGTATCGCGTGGCCTGCAGGTGCGATTGGAGAAGAACGGCTATTTGGGCTAGTTGGTTAGAATTCGTGGTGATAAGGGCTGCAGCGCGAGCACGAAGGTGCTAGAAGAAACGTGAAACGAAAAGCGAGGCAAGGAAAGCAAAGCACTCGTGTTGTCCTCCTTGCTTTCCTTGCCTCGCCTTTCGTTTCACGTTTCTTCTAGCACCTTCGTGCTCGCGCTGCAGCCCTTATCTGCAGATGCGAGTCCCTGTTTTGCGAGACCTCAAGGTAATAAGACAGTTGCAGTGACACGTTAGCGCGAGAGTCATTTGACGCTTTTCGCATAAAAAAAAAAGCGAGGCACGAGTTGCATTTAAAGACGCTTCTGTTTGTCTTATCGAAAACGTGACGCAGTTCTCCGATATGCCAATGCGATCGCATTTTGCCGATACTGACGCACGCATAAGCAAATTGTACTAACCTGAGCTTACCTTTCGAATACTAAAAGTTCAAATTAGCAGCCGGCATTTCTACTATTATTACTTCTCTCTCGGGCCTTCATTTTCTGATTTCCGCTAATCGCTTCGAATATCGCGTTGTTTTTCCCAACAACTGAGTCACGTGTATGAAGATGAAGCAGACAGAAAGGAAGAAGTATAGGAGGTTAACCAGAAAGACATCCGGTTGGCTACCCAACATGGAGGGATTAGGAAAGGGGTAAGAAAGGAGAACGAGGGAAGAGAGAGAATAGAACGAGTCACGTGTATGGAAAGTAAAGCATCCAGTATTACTCACGGACGCCTTCTGCGCTCCTTGCCGTCTCCCCGTTGAGCGAACGCGCACTGAGAATCCAAGTGTTCGTGGGTTTTTTTGCACCGCTTTTACTTCCCGACGAGCAGCGCCGACTTTCGCCGTTGAAAGCTGCGTGTGCGCGATTCCTGACGTCTTTGCAAAATACCAAGTGTCGCGACTTTCGACGCAGATAAATGGACGGCAGCCGCTAGACGCCCACGCCCCCCCAACAGATTTGCTCGGCGCAGGCGGCGCTTTACAGGAAGCGCGCACTTTAGACCTCGGAACGACGTCATGGTGCGACGGCAAGCGACGTCAAGCATGCTGAGCGCCGTCTCTGGGCACGCGCGCGAACTGAAGCCGATTAGCTCCGCCCGCATATACTTTGATTCTCACTTACTATCGTTCGCTGGTGGCGTTAAGAAATTGGAACTGACCAAGCATGCGACATGAAATTTTACCTCGTATTTATCTATTAAAGTTCACGAACGCATTGCGACGAGGCCGTGCCTTGCACAATCTAATCTCTTCCCAGCCACGTCACGATACGTTCGAGAACACGACGTATCGAACATACAATAGGAGAACACGAACATACGATAGGCTGCAAACGCCTATTTCATACTGATTATCAGATCCGTAGTTTGGACACAAAGTAATCTTGTTAAAAGACTGGGCGTGCAAGCACGGAAACAAGAGACAAGGGGAGACACCACGAGCGCCATCTAACGGCTAACGACTGAAAAAAAAAAGCACTCAGTGGCGAAAAAATGAGATAGGCACAAAACTTATCTGCACATGTCCAGGCTTATCTACGCATACCCAGACAGTTTTTATTCCGACGTTCTTTTCCGTTTCTGTGCACCTGAGTTGTTTGTCAACATTTTGACTTTCCGATTGCGTCCATGTTTGAACGCCCGGTTTTTTAACATGGCATCAACCGACTACATCTATGACGTTCAAAGACAAATAAATCGTCTCGTGAACTGTGCCTATCATAATGTGTAAAATAAAATAACAGTGGTAGTAACAGCTGTAGTAGAAATGTGTACAAAGGCGTAACCAGATTCTTTTACAGGCTATAAGGGGGGGGGGGGGTACCGCCAGCTTTTCTTGGGCTACGCCAATAGTATAGTAGTTGTGGCAGCGCTAGAAGTGATGTTAGCATACGACCAATATTACTGTAGCTACTAATATGAGTACTACCACTACTACTGCAACTTCTACGACTGCTGTAGTAGTAAAAGAAGAACTATCACTACCACTACTACTGCTAGTAGTAGTAGTAGTAGTAGTAGTAGTAGTAGTAGTAGTAGTAGTAATAGTAGTAGTAGTAGTAGTAGTAGTAGTGTGGTGGTGATGGTGTATGGGTGGCCGTCAATATTGCACCACGGTGCCAGGTGAAGCATCAGCTCATCAAACAGACAGAGAGACAGAAAAACGCCAATTCGGGAGCTTTATACACAATTATAAGACAATGTGCCACGCACGGCTAGCGCTACGCCGTGCGTTTGTCAGGTCGCTGTTCAATCAGTATACACAGTGACAAGCAAACAAGCGAGGAGATCAGTGTTTTATAGGCATACAACGACGCACTTGGGTATTTACATGCGAATGAGTAGACAACTGCATCATGCTGTCGTGCCTCGCTTCAACAGGTCGTATCCGCAAGCTTGCATAGTGCAAATTGTAAATGCGCATTCAAATGCCCACATGTATTCAAGGCACGAGCATCGTTGCACCATGGAGATATTCTTTGATTGATTTCTGATAATTAATTATTGTCATTGTCGTGTGTAGGTCTTAATAGCGAGGTGGTATTACCACATCAGCATTATTTCTTTTTTTTATATTAGTCCTTGCGATTGTTGTGTACGCCTAAATTGTACTTGCACACTTACTTTTAAACTCGGTACCTACATCGAAACCACAAACACAAAGTCACCGATGTATAGCTCACAGAGCATGACATGTACCACGACTGCCAGAATATGCAAAGCACTGTTATGGGGAAGTGGCACCACATCGTTCCGGCGCAATGCATAGCGACCGGGTACCGTGATATTTGCCCTATAATTACACACGAGTAATGAAGAAATGTAGTTTCCATAGTATACGTGAAATGCTTATTGCAGAATTTCACTGCCAATGACGAGAATCTCGTGTGTTTTTGGTTTTTTTTTTGAGGTTCACATGTCACCACGGCTCACAGTAACTGAATGCACAATAGCGTTTGGCTTGCACCAATTCAAACAGTGGGACAAATCACAATCAATTGCACAAACTACGCCAAGAGCGCTGTCAAGTCAACAGCGTCAATCTTCAAGTTGTTTAGAAGTGGCACCAATTGCTAGATCTGTGCGCCTCGCAAGAAAAAAAAAACAAAAACGTCGCCTTTCTGCAGGACTAAAAACGCAGAACAGGCGCCTAGCGGTTTCGATGGCAGCGCGTGAAACGGCACCTTACAGCCAACCCGCAAGTTTGTGGAAGCCCCGCCCATCTTCCATAAAACGGAAGTTGCGTCAGTCGGCGCTTCCTCATTGCTCTCCTCGCCCTTAACTCTTTGTACATAGTACGTATCCGCCTCGCCTCCAAGTAATCACCGAAGTCCAGCTTCGACGATCGTTCATCGGCGTTACGCCAATGACACTATATGTCCATGAGCAGCGAGGCACGCATTCGACATTGCCGCTGTGCCTCCTAGTGTCCACTGACAGCCAACGTTCCATTCAACATGGCCGCCAGGGTACCGTTTGCGTCCATGTCTCCTGCCCAGGCGGGGAAGTTGTTGAGGTCGAAGATGACGATGCCGATCGTGTTGATGCTGACCAGCATAATGCAGATGCAGATACACTTGACCACCAGACCAGGGAGAATCTGTGAGGAAAGTCCGTAAAGCATACAGTAAATACACTGACCTGAAATTTCCCTTTTAAGGCGATAGCTGTGTACGTCTAACCATGGTCCCTCAATACGGGAGTTTCATGACCAGTAAAAGTATTGAGGGACCATGGTCTAACCAAACACAAAGCTTGACAGTCGGCGTCGACGCTCGTCATGCGGCGTCCCAGTCAACGCGAGTGATGAAAAAAAGGTCATCACGTGATTACAGCACCATACGCCATCTTCACAATGTCCGATATCACCAAAATTTATGACGTTATCATGACGTAATCATGAGGTCAAATAACGTGGCGTCACATTATGGCATCGTCACGTGGCATCATCGCTAGCTCAATGGTCCGACGATCACAGAGGCGATGTGAAATCAAGTGAGAAGTAGAAAGCTTGCAATGTTTGCGATCTTCGAGGCAGTGCTAAACTGCGAAACCACGTTGAGGGCAGAAGGCTTTCGGAGGCGGGCGGAGGAGGATCACTACATTGACTGAGAAGTAAAAAGAAAATGGCTTTTGCCTTAAAGCCTTTTTTGGTAAATGCAAAGGGGCACTGTAACTTTCTTTTATATTGATTGAACAGTTATTCAATAAGCTGCCGTATGCTGCGTGGTAATGGTGGCCACTCACTGTTATTGAACATTGTTAGCTACGTATTTTCGGTGAGTTTCATTCTCAAATAGGCGTTACGCTTGTCAAAAAACCAACAAAAACGGAAAGTGCGCCAAAGGCAGGAGCAGCGTGTGTCCCTGTCCTTACCACCTTGTGTGTTTTTATCTTTGTATTTGCGCTGTATTTACGACAAATCAGCTGACCCATCTTACCTGCAGCTGCAATCCAAAGCAACTAATGCTACTTAATTGTCTGCTAGGTATAGCCTACCATAGGAACTTTACATACGGTTATTTTTCTTGTCTTAAGAATAAGCTACACCTAGCAAATAATAACGAAGGCCTCAGATCACGAATATCAAAACGCTTAGAACAGATGCTAACATTATGATAACAAGACAAATTACAGGCAGGAAGTGCAGCAGAATAACGCAAAGTTAGCCGACGTACAATTCACGCTAAGCATGAGCAACCGTTTTGAGGATCTCACCATTTCAGCCGGGAAGATGTTGGCATGACTTGAAACAATGGCGTTGGCTGGCGTTCCGACGGGCAACATGAAGGCATAGGAACAGGACAACGCAACTGGCACAATGATCATCAAAGGATTCATGTGGAGGTCAGTTGCCTGCGTGAAAGAGCGACAAAATTTAGGATGCTGGTGAATACCATGAATGCGCTCCATCTACTCTTTCGTGAGTATAAAAGCAGGACAAGTATATTTTTAACCAAGTAAAAATAAGCATTGCACACTCCAATTCTAAATACCAAACATTGGTTGACGGTGTTGTTACGCTATTTGGAACACTCAAGCCAGAAAAAGAAAGTGAATTAGTACATGGATCTTAAAATCGATCAGCAGTATTTTCAAATGGCTTTTGTTAGACGGTTCCTTAGTAATGCAGCGGCCTTCTATTTTATAGTCACTCAAGAAAACCATTAACAGAAAATTGAATTAGACCTCTGCTTATAGGTCTTTCTCGCAAGTAACACAATCCTAAATATATACAATAGTCATAAAATATCAGTTTTATTTATATAGTTAATATTCAATATCACAAAAAATTGCCAACTTAGCTACACTTTTATCCGAGAGAAGACAGTCAGTCACGGTTCCATACTGCTACCGTTAAGCCCTACTGGCATTACACCTTTTATTTCAAAATCCGGTTTCGAACGCATGTAGCTGTTTACGCGTGAACAAAATATTAAGGATGTGTCAGCGTACCAGCTGCGCCATGATGGGCAAGAAGATGGTCGCCGTGGCAGAGTTGGATACCACTTCGGTGATGAAGGCCACGATGCCGGACACGACGAATATGATGCACTGCGGCGACATGAAGCCAAACGAGGAGAGTTGGTGGCCCATCCACCTCGAAAGACCGGAAACCTGCAGTTCGCAATGGAAAGATCAACACCCCGAGGTTCAGAAGCACAAGCACCACGAAGAAGGTTCGTTGAAGACTTTGGGGAAGACAGTGTAATGGTACATAAGAAAGGAGATGCAAAGGCACCGTTGAGTGTTCGTTTCCTTTGCACTGTTTTCTGTAGATTCCGCGGTGTTTTTATCGTATAACCAATGTAAAGTCGTTCGACAAAGAACGTCCTTGCAATTAACGTTACTATATCGGTACTTTTCTCCGTCAGGGCTTTTCGTTTCTTTGGGAAACACTGGCCTCAGTGCCATTGAATTTTTAGCGACATTTCATCCCCCGAAGCTCCCATTTACGGCTGTAAGTCTGCGTTGTTTATATTTGTAGTAACCGTGAGTTTTGAACGTGGTGGCTACGTGTTTGTTGTGCCCATATGAGAACTTCTGTACTGACCTATGTGGGACTGAATGTATATATGCTATCTATATTCTTTTTATTCTTTATTTGTAACGCAAAGGGGGTAGCCGTCACGAAATCCAAACAAACAAAATAACACCGAAGCATTGAGGTGACATAGTAGACATTTACATTGTCACGCGTAAACCATGTTCAGTAATAACTTGCTTGTGAGCCACACTAAGATTTTAGAGCTCTGCAACGTAACAGCCCAAGAACAAGTTCGAGAAACCCATAACTGCCAGCAGTCAGTTTGTAATATCTGAACTATATTGCTCCACAGTTACATTATATCACGGGCCGAAACGCCGAAATACATTGGTAACGTGAGCATTTAGCATACTGATTGATGAGATCGCTGAGAGACTGCCTGTCAATCATGACCGCTATATCCCCACGGATCAAACTCGGGCGCCTTCCACTGCAGGCTCCGAGCTCTTCGAGCTTTATTCTTACATGGAGTCAACCCAACCACATCTTTCGACCCCCTCCATGCGCACGTTTATGATTGTACCTGATGTACGAAACGGACTTATACTCTACCAGTCCAGTGACAGAAATACTACACAAGGTCACGCCCTATGACAAGGTTTTCGGTATCTACCTCATGAAATATGGCGGATATGGGGTGTATAACCCCACAAAGGACCATTATCAATTACTTGATGCTATTTACTGTCACACACGCACAAAGGGTAATGTCCTGTCTCCGCTCTTCACTGCGATAAGCTCATTCATATGGTCTGCCATGCGTCCGATAACTGTTCGATTCTGTCTAAGCGTCCTAGGTCATTTCTGGAATGTATTTTTCGAAGCATGCCGCTTTATGAGCGCCTCTAGATCAGGCCCGGCTTGGTTCTTTTATCAAAACGGCAGGCTGTCTATGCGTTTTCTTTTTTTTTTTTTGAAGAAAACATGCGGGCGACACGCTACTACACTGTATTGATGTTGACATGCAAGTTTCGTGTATAGAAACCCGAGCACCTCTCCCCCACCAAAAAATAAAGAAACAAAAAGCACTCTTATGAGATAAACAGTGGAATCTATTGGCCTAATATACCTCAAGTTACAAAGCTAGAGAGTCAATCGTTCGCACGTGCCCAGAAACAATAAAATAAATTAAAGGAAGAGGGAGTGTTGCTGTGCAAGATTTCATTCTTTTAAATGCAGATACTGAGAGTGAAAACACTGTTGAAGATAATACGAAAAAAAAAGAGAAAACGTTCAGCCAGTTCCATGCCTTTAAAACCACCGGATAGTAAAACTGTGAGCGCTCGAGTGTATGTGATCGAGCACCATGATCATCATAATTACATTAATCATCAGTTAGTTTTATTTTATTTTTTCACTTCCGCTCGCATCACATGAGCTGCGCGAAGTCTTGTAATGCTGCTGTTACTACTACTACCACCACCGCCACTACTACTACTACCTTACTGTTGACTACTTGCTTCTACTATTCCGCCGACGACGACGTCGATGGCACAGGATAGAGAGACTACGACAGCTTCACTGTTGCGAAACAGGCGTGATAATAACGCGTAACATTTTCGGTGCTTTAATTTGCATACAAGGGCACCGAAAAGATAGCGAGAACCGACACACGATCAAACCACCAATGAAGCAGCACAAACGCAGTCAAGATTTGTGTGTACCGTGCTCTTATTTACAGGAACGCTTAAACGACACCCGAGGCAATGCAAAAACAATGAATACGACGGTGATAACGGGAGCGAGGCTGGCCAGTATATAAAGAGTGACAGAGTCTACAGGAGAAAGTTGCGGATCGTACACCCATAGCCACCGAAAAGCGGCAATTCAGAACAGGCAGCGCTCGACGAGAACGCAATGCAAATACACGGAATGGTCGTGTTTAAGATAAGCAGTCCTCTTCCTTTCTTTCTTTTTCGACACGCTCTGCTGCCACTGAATGACGATGACGATAAGCATAACGACAGCACACGCAGCGAAAGCTGACCGAAGCACCCTTTACCACTTGTAAAGCAATGCAGTTCGTAGGACAACAAAAATATGGCGGGCGATGAACAGCGCCTATAGGTCTACACTGTCACTGTTGTCCCATCATCTTAGGTGTTTTTTGTTTTGTTTCGAATACGAAAAACTATAGATTCCGGCTCTACATCGGTTGTTTGTGGTTAAATTAGATCACTCAAGATACCTGGAGTATAGCATGGTGTCGGGTGAAAAACCAGGCAAACTTCTCCAGCTCTCTATTAAAATAATTCTCTCTCGCAAAATACAGTAAAACCACGCTCCTACGTTTTTGAGGAAATACAGTATACGGGATAACCCGCACTCAAAATTCTCTAAAATATAACGCTGTTTCGCTTGATATTGACATCACAAACTTCAGAACCAAGAAAGTGTACAAAAGAGAAACGCATTAACGGGGTTCTACTGCATTGATACGTCACTCCATTGCCTACCATTTCAAGTTATAAAGGCAACGCGCACAGACCCGCCGTTCAACGGTAGTCCATAGAGGTTAAGGCGCTTGACTCAGCCGAAGGTCGCGGGATTGAATCTCGGCCGCAGTTGCCACTCTTTAGATAGCGCAATGCTAGATGTCTGTGTGCTTAGATTTAGGAGTACGTTAAATAACCTCTAGAGTTCGAAACTTCCGGAGCCCTCCACTACGACGTCCCTCATAATCACACTCCGGTTTTCGGACGTAAAACGCCAACAACTATACTGTAACAACGCACACATTGACTCATGGACGAACACATTCGTCTCTCTCGGAGCTCGTCCACCTAGCCGCTTTAGTTAGCCAGCTGCACTGAGAGTATAGAACAAATCTAACGGTGGTGATTGTAGTGGTTAGAAGATGAGAAAAGGCACCTAATTTCTGCAACCCGGTCGGGAGCACGGCGCAGTATCTAAAAATCTAACGAGGCTCTCACGTTTGTCGCTTCGGCCATAGCAAATCCGCCTCCTCTGAGTAGGACGACGCCCCACGGAAGGCGCTTTTGGACCACGTCCCAGGTGAGTAAGGTCGGGCTGGTGCCGATTTTGCGCGGGTCCGCCGGGATCACGAAGAGAAAGAATATCACAAACAGTGCCGCCGTGGCGTCCTTGGGCTTCCTGTGAAGTAGGAGGAGAATGAATAAACGTTGACCTGGACAGAACTTGTTTCAAGGGAGTACGATGTGTGTTTAGAAAACGTGGGTAACAATTTAGAGTACTAGGTACTCTACTATAGGAGAGTTCAAAGCCGTCCCGGGGGCCTCCAGAGAAGGAGCACTAGAAGACTCATTCCCACATGGGTGCGCAGATGCGGGGAATGCAGGGTGTGCGCCCCCCTCACCTAATGAGCAAAGGAGACGCCAAATCTGAATCCCTTTACTCAGCTGAATCTATCTCGCTATTTTTTAATAGTCCAGGGTTACGGCAATAAACGTGTTTTGACTGAATACTCTCGATGTTCCATTCCAAAAATGTTTACTTCCCGCCTCATCTACAGAATGATGAAAACCAAAGGCAGGCCTTTCTGCAAAGCAGTTTGTCGCTTAATTTTCATTTTCGCTTGCCCTGTGAAGCCTGTATTCTTTCAGACTCGAGCAATATGGAGGTGCGGATGCACCCCGTGATGGAAAACTTTGCGCCTGCACTTACTATTACTCCTCTCATAAACAAAAGTAAACGATTTCAATAGCGTGATAGGCAAGATATTTTGCTGAACTTACAGGTCACCGAAGAACGTGGCCCAGCCTCTCGCGAAATGTGGGTCCCTGAACATCCACAGGAGCACGAGGGTCGCCAACATCACCAGCACGGAAAACTCGTGGAAACTGGGGGAAGAAATGTGACGGATGCAGAAACAGACAAGTATGTGTTAACATCGTTCAAGTAATGCTCAAGAACTTTCGAAGAGAACAGCACGCTACTGAAGCCGGAATCGTGCAGGAAAAATGGAGCGAAAAGTTGAACGAGACAAGTGGTATAGAAAGGGTGGTCTGAGGTACTTTCCCAGAGCTACCCTGCTACTCCGAGTTGAGGAAGCGGGAACAGGAAGAGCTAAAGAAAAGCAGACAGCTGGGTCAACGAAATAAAGTAATTAGGGCACTGAATTCACGCGCGCCATTGAAGCCTATAGTCCTATGTCGGCACACATTAAAGAGGCAAGTCCTGCATGGCCTGAAAAATAGTTACAGTCACAGCAGATACAACGCCTACTGACAGTACTTGGATGTATTGGAGGTCAAGGCAAAACATGACAAAAAATATTCTGTAAGACCCGCTCTGAACAAACTGGTTCACACTTTCAGTTTTAGGAGTTCCCAAAGTGTTCCTTTCTTGTAACTTCAATCAATCAATCAATCAATCAATCAATTAATTAATCAATCAGTTTATTATCATGTCATAAAAGGATGTTACAGGGAGTAAAAATATACAGACGAGGGTCCCAAAGTACACGACTGCAACGGGACCCTCGGTGATGATTACAAATAATAAAAGCACAAGCACTTGAATCTAATTAGATGAAAACCGTAGTTTCTCACCTATCTGCGAAGCAGACTGTAACAGCGGATTAAGACCTAGCATTTGGACTAACATCAGGGACCCCCCCCCCCCCCCCCCCCAAAAAAAAAAAATGTATCAATGCGAAATAAATGCTCCTAGCTTCAGACTAGGTATGTTACTCCCGAAGTTTTGAAATGATGACTATTCTTCAGCGAAGAAATATTTTTCGTTTATTTCACCTTAATAAGTAAAACGAGATGAATTTGTCGAACTCACTTCATTGGACCAAGCTCGTCGTATTTCTTGTTTATGACCTTCTTCGCTGCATGCCCCTTCTTCTCGAGTCCAATGGCACTGCACGAAAGAAAGCATTGAAAGTTGGAATTTCAAGATGCATTCATTGGTACCTATAACACTGAACTTTGTTGTTCCGTTCACACTTGACGAAATCGTTGCATCATCTGATGAATATGTCTTGTGAGAAAACTGCTTCATGTATAATAACTTTTAAGCATAAGCGTGAGGGTGCAGAGCGACAGGGAAGCTGGGAGGGGCGCGAAGTCTGTCGCATATATTTGCTTAGTAAGGAGGGGACACTACGTCATCCCTTCGCCCCCCCCCCCCTCCTAATGGGTACACTGATTTGCACTCGTATGCTTCTAAGCGTCGTGAGTTTCTTCCACGTAGCATTGGCGTAGCCAGGAGAGAAAGGGGGCTATTCCTTCCGTCCAGATTTTTCACTTTTGCATATGTATATAAATATATATACACGCACACCTACAAACGTACGCGCGAATATGCATAAAATAGAGTTAACTGCCCCCCCCCCCCCCCCCCCGACCTGGAGGAAGTCCCTGGCTGCACGCCTGCTACGCAGCTCATTTTTTTTTTCGAAATACATCTTTTGAGGCGTTTATGTAGTCCATCAGCCAAAAAATAAATAAACTAAAAGCACTTTCACTCACCATCCTTATTGCTGAGTTTTTGACACTTTATGACACAAATAATTGCGTGGCTAGTATTCTACATTCATTTGGTTGCCTTTTGCTCATCAATTCAGGATTCTGTATTTTTTTTTGGTCCTAGACAATAGTTCATTCTGATTGTATAACTAACTCTTATCCTTTTTTTTGCTGTACTGGAGCTCTTATACGTAATGTCCCTTAAGGAATCCTTAAAAGAAAATACATAGACGTAACAAAATAAGAGTAATAATTACAGCTATGATTATCATATGCAAGCTAAAAAAAGCGAGTCATTGTGCATCTTTCCCTGCCACTTTCAGGGCTTCTAGAGACGTCGTTGGTGTCTCAAAAGTGCGTTCCCCGCAACACGAAGAACGCGAACGCCCCTGCGGCGAGTTGTTACCCGGTGTTCCGGTAGAGAAGCTGGAACGCAGCCCAGACCACGAAGACGCTGATGACCACTCCGGGTGTCGAGAACACCAACCAGCTCGCGTAGTCGATGGGCGGGAGGCCACCGTAAAATCTGCATGGGCGAACGAGGCATGTATTCGAGAATATCGGCTCTGTCAGGTGATGCAGAGATCCCGGCTGACCCGAAAGAAAACCGTCTGATCTCTCAGTGCACTCATTCAATTAACTTTCATCTCCCTGACGGTTCATTGACCCTCAACTAAAGTAAACTTATTCTCTAATATTACTTGCATATAACAGCTAACTTCAACCCGGTTGAAGTTAGCAGTTATCTGCAGGTGAAGTTACCAATTCTGAGAATCCGCGATGGTGGCTCTTGTGCTCGACTTCTGACCAGCAGGTCGCGGGATCGAATCCCGGCTGCTACGGCCAAATTTTCGATGGAGGCTAAAATGGTGGAGAAGCGTGTACTAAGATTCAGGTGCACGTTGAAGAAATCCAGGTGGTCCGAAATTGAGGAACCCTCTACAACGGCCTCTTTCATAATCACATCGCGTTTTTTGAATGTTAAATCCCACAAATGTTTTTATTAACTTGAACCAGAACCATGGATCTGACACCAGTTGTATTTTATGAAACACGCTTTCAGAATACCAAGAAAACCGAAAGTAGGTGCTCGACTGAAGTAAACGCTTGACCAGAAGTGCTTGGAAGAGGAACAGTAGTACCAATCGTATACTTCGTGCCACACACACAAACACCCACACACACACACACACACACACACACACACACACACACACACACACACACACACACACACACACACACACACACACACACACGCACACGCACACGCACACGCACACGCACACACACACACACGCGCGCGCGCGCACAAAAAGTGCGATCGATCCCGCTGACTCGCCTCATGCAGTGATTGTCCTGAAGTAGACCTAAGATGGCTTTAAAAGCAAGCTTTCTTGGCCGAATAAAACTATTTTTCACGATTAGCAATCCAGTGTGTGACACAATTAGGAGGCTTAACAGGGCTGGGTCAGCATAATGCACGAAGACGCAGAAGGGCGCGAAAATTAGAATCTATAAGGCACCAAATGATTGCTTATTATGTTATTACTGGCGCAGTACTTAAAACATGAAGAAACGACGGGCAAGAGACAGACGGACACTGGCTACCACGTGTTTATTGCAGGTCAAAGGTGGGAAACGACGATAACTTCCAAGCATCAAGTGCAAAGGTGCGAAAGCGTGACATCACACATGACATTGCGGAAGCTGTCCATTAAAGAAAAAGCCCTAAAAAGTTGGTGGTTGTCACTAGTTGATAGTCTGCGCCCGTGCATTTTTTTTTTCGTTTTCTTATCTTCTTTCATGTTTCAGAGATTTTGCGCCGAGAGAGAGAGAGAGAGAGAGAGAGAGAGAGAGAAAGAGATAGATCATACTCTTTTAATGAAACTCCCGAACGTGCTAGCCTGGTTTTGTCCCCTGACTTGCTACTCCAAGCAAAATCCAAGATGCAGCACCTTCCCGGAGTGCACCAGGAATAACACGTTTAGCTATAATAGCATAAGCACCAACTATCCCAGGAACAAGTTCTTCGAGCACTTGAGGTGCCCTGACACTTTCGCCTTTTCAATGAGTATATCATCAAGGAAAAAGGTAGTCGCTCACTTGGTGAAACTTATAGAAGACCTTTAAAGGTTTCTGGCTTTTCTGCGCTTAGAGTGTATTATACTCGCGGTTCCACTCGAAGGCGCCGGGGCGGCGCCAGGGGGGGGGGGCAAGGGGGAATTGGAGCTTCCCCAAAATTCTCGCCTGCCCCCCCCCCCCCCCCCCCCCCTATGCCCACCCAAGTTCCCGGAAGCATATATTGAAAACCTAGTAGGAGCAGAGCTAGCTTGCCCCCCCGGAGGAACTCACTTTTCGTGGTTGCCCCCCAGTAAAAACATCCTGGCGCCGCCCCTGCGAAGGCGTTTTAAAAAGATTTTGCTATGTGACAGAAAGCGGGTGCGCAATAATAAAAAAAAAAAAACAATCGCAACTTTCACAGATGGTGGCGCCGCCATGCGGCAGCTGTCGTAACTGTCGTTTGGGGGATGCTCACACAGCCAGCTCATGCCTCACTCTGGCGCTTTGCTGTTGCTTTATATTTTGTTGCTGGCAATTTCTACTGCAGTTATTCTGAACTCGGTAGTGAACTACCGAAGTCGGACAGGTACTGCGAGTCGTAGTAGCCATGATTTACTCTTTATTGTTTGCTTGCTGAGCTAGTAGAATCACGAATTATGTTGCATGCCGCTGTGCAGACGCCGTGCAGTCAAAGGCGAGGTTTTCTGCTTTGCGCGAGCCCGGCCACTCGATCTTCCCCTGTCGTGGCACGAGCAGCGTTCACAAAGCTGCACGCGCATTCCTTTACACCGCCGCAGACGATGTGCTCACCGTTCAAAACTTCTTTTCCTTTAATATGCGCCACACACGCGTTTCTCAACATGCAGTGTGGGATATGATACATGCCAGAGTCAATGACCTTCTCAGCAAAGCCTTGACAACGCGGCGGCTGCAGCCGAAAATACTACGCAGTTCGAAGTGACGGGCACACCAGCGGCGGCTGCCTGCGCGCCGGCTGCACGATCCCCCAAACGACAGCCATGTTGGGCTTGCACTGGCGCCATCTATAGGCGTTGAAAGTTGCGAATAATGTATAAACGCATAGAAAACTCGTGAAAACTGCTGCCATAAGATCCGCACTTACTCTTCGACTACGAACTTCAGAATCAAGTTAGGCCCGGCGCTGGTGAGTGTTGCCGTGCCTCCGATGTTCGCCGCGAATGCCACGCTGAGGTAGAGGCTCTTGCTCAGCGTCCTCTGGGCTTTCTGCTTGGCGACATCCTCGCTGCGAACGCTGCACGAGCGGCTGACAGGCGACACGGACCTGCGTAGTCACGTAGTATATGCGTCTGACAGCGTCAGCTAACACACTAAAAATACCGGAAGGGTCGGCATAAGCTTTTTTTGCCTGAGTCTACGGGGGCGCAGAAAAAATAATGGAGAAGTAGCATTGAAAGTTAGGTTTGTTGGTACATACAACGCGAGACAGACGAAAGCGGAAGAGCACGGACGAGACACAGACGAGCGCTGTCTCGCAACTGAAAAGTTTTATTTGAAGAACAGATGAACGTGAAAGCAATAAAGAACAAGAAGTAAACGTATCAACATTGCGCCAAAGCGTTAAAATTGAATAGAAAAAGTTACATATGTGTCGTATGACCTAACGGCACATGTGCTGAGAAGTTGGCAAACTCTTTGAGCGTGAACTACATAAATGCCTCAGTGACGAATGCATTATCCTTTCGTCTATTATGAAATGGTTTTATGACTTCCCTTGTTACCTGGGAACTATGTTTCGACGAAATTTCTGTATCGGTAGAAAGAGGTCAACGGCCACACGTGCCACAGTGCGATGCCAGATGCAAAGCGTTTGAAATCTTGCGCAAACCTTTGTGCTCTCTTAAGCGCACATTAGCGTATTGTTAATTAACTATTACGTGTGTGCGGTAATAAGTGGGACAGAGTGGCCGATGCATTAATGTGCAGTTAAGAAAGCACAAAAACTCGCTCAAGTATCCGAACGCTTAGCACCTGGCATTGCACTGCACCACCTGTGGCTGTTCACCTGTACTCGCCGATACCGAAATTTCGTCGGAACATAGTTCCCAGATAACTAGGTAAGTGATAAAATCATTCCATATTAAACAAATATGGCGCATGCGTCACTGGGGCATCGTATCTCATGAACAGAGAGTCCACCTTTTCTGAAAACATGTGCCGTTAGGTGCCACTGCTGCATACGCGTCAGTCCATTGACTGACAATCTTTTTTCTCTCTCTTTCTCTTCTCTTTCCTCTCTCTCTCTTTCTCTGATATTTATGCCCCCCTTCCCATTACCCAAGCGTAGGGTAGCAGAACGGGCATGTGCCTGGTTAACCTCCCTGCCTTCTTTCTTGTTGTTCTTGTCCTACTTTCTGCCGTTAGGTGATGGCATATATGTAACTTTTTCTATTCAATTTTAACACTTCTGCGCAATCTTGATACGTTTATTTTTTATCTTTATTGCTTTTACGTTTACGTGTTTTTCAAATAAAACTTTTTCAGTTGCGAGTCAGCGCTCGTCTGCGTCCCTTCCGTACTCTTCTGTCTTCACCAGTGTCGCGCTGTACCCAAAAATAATGAAGGAGTTATGCTGCCATGCGCTCGGTCAAAGAGTCTCCAAGTTATTAGTCAGGTTTTCTGAGCATATATGGCTATAGGGATGATAACCACAGCAGCATTAACTTGAGGTGTTCCCATCAAATCACTTACGCATTCGCAATATTCTCTGACCCGCCGTGGTCATTTAGTGGTTATACGCACTCGACATCAGACCCGCAGGTCCAGGGATCCCTTCGCGCTGATACTCCCTCGGTCTATAATAAACCAACTCACGCAAAGAGACATTTTGATAAAAGTAAAATTTAAAGCTTTGAATGAAGTTAAGGCACGAAAAATTAAGTATATTTACTTTTCTTTTTTTCCGGAGCTTTCCGTGCTGGTGCTGCGGTTGAGTGGTTTTTGGCCTCCTGGAAAAATAAACGCACGCACACGGAATCATTAATAAACTAGATATCCTTAATATGCACAAAACACTACGTGAATACGACAAAATAATTCGTTCGTCAGTTTTATGTCCGCCACGTTTGCTTCTATGTCTGACTATCTCCTATCACTCAATTTACGGCCTTCCATAACGCTGAAAAAAAAAAAAAACGTTATTTTTGTCAACATTACGAATCATAAGAAGAAAACTCGCTTGAAAGCCGCATATCAAAAAGCTTTTTTCAGTGAAACAAGAAGAAAAGGAACAAACACATGTATTTAAGCGGAGTGATATCATTATACGTAATCAAGTATGTTCGCAGTGACTGCTGGAATAAACGAAACCATACAGCTTTAGCTTATCGACATAGATATTTATTAAATACCTATCATGTTTACACGCAGATCACCGAATGCACTGCAAATATTGCGATCGTGTATACATAATATCTACGACGTTTTGACAGATTTTTGTAAACAAAAAAAGCATATTTAGAAAGCATTGAAGTGTTTTTTATTGTGATAGCAATTATAATATGTACACTCTCGGCTAAATTTTGGCGTCGACGTCGGCGTCGCCGTCACTCACCATATATGTATATGTATCTGTATATATAAAAATGCAAGAGAGGAAAAAGCAGGAAAAGACTCCAACGCACGGATTCGTACTTGGGTCTTCTGAATCGCGAGTGCGAGGCGTTAACCACTGCGCCACCATGGAACACGTCCTTCAACGTTCAAAGTGCAAGCTATTTATATCTACAACTTACGCTGCTGACTGGCATCTCAGGGGGCATTGTGATTTCAGCATTACTAGCAAGATGGCACAATGAGCGCGCATCGCCATATCGCGCGGCGGCGCGCTCTCTAATCTCTCACGCGTACTTTGCCTCTCTTAGAGGAGAGGAGCGACGCTCCCTCGCGCATCCTTATCTCGCGGTGGAGAGGAGGGTTGAATCGTATGTCTTGGCTGGCCTCAGGCTTTACCTGGAACGATTCTGGTGTAGTTACCGGGCGCACAAAGGTCACTGCAATCATCGCAGTCTCCGTTTGTGAAAAGCACGCGCTTTTCATACACAGCGAAGTGACAACTGAGACGCTTATTTGCGTGCATCTGTACTTGTGAGTACGTTTCGTGCGTCATTTGTGCATGAGAAACGCGGGGCACATTTCGACCTGCTTTCCATACTGCGCGTAAGTTTCCAATTTGTTGCTATCGAGTTCATTGCTTCGCCTTTGCGGGCAAAGCTGCGACTTTTTTTTTACACGAGGAGCTGGTGAACATGCACGTGATCCAGTTGTCCCATTATTCATTCAGTCAGTACCATTTAACACCTTCTTTGGTAAAAAAATATGACACCGTAACGAACGCCAAAGAAAGAAAAAACATTTAGGTTCACAATATTTCTGACAATGTTGTTATTCACTGCCATGACGGTGGAGACACAAGCATTAATAATAAGGCGCAGCGCGTTCACATAGCGATGCCTGTGAGTCTTAGCGGTAATCCTAAAACAATTGGTTAAAAGTGCCTGAACGTTCGATTAGGAAACAAATAACACTATACATACTATCGACAAATAGCCGGTGTCCCTCATAAGATTTTTTTTCTTCGTTGCATCTAAACCTTTCAGAAGCAACATTTTACATAGGTAGGTCTCCAGAGTGAAAACACGATGAGAATGAGTCACAGCGGTCATAAAATTGTTCGACGAACAAATCCCCAGTGACCACAGTGGCCCACTCTATGACTCCGGAGACAAAGTGCAGAGAATATACGAACGCTTCGGACACACCGGGAGATGCAAGAGCGGCTCTTGGCTCGCGACGGCGGCAGTCTCCAGATTGCTCGGACGTCTTTATCGACTGGTGAACAAAAAGAAGTGGATCCCCGTTTTTGTTCATCGGTCGCCAAAGACGGCGTAGCATTCTGCACTGCTCCGGCCGCACGTCTGCGATGCTAGTGCCGCTGGCATCGCGGGCTTCGTCTCTGAAAATGTAGATGAGGAGTATTCACTAGGAACATGGACAATTATTTATGCAAGGACTCGTCAATGATTGGAAGCCTAAGTTACACGATTGAACGCATACACTGAAAAACTACACTGCGGTACACTCTGTTCCGGGCTTTCTCGCTTGAAACATGAGTACTCTGATGATTATTTCACGTGGGCTCATGTGAACAGTCTGATTATTAGTTGACGTGGTCTTGGAAACGTGAATTATCTTATCATTATTTCATGTGGTATCATGTGAATAGTCTGATCATTATTTCATGTTGTATTAGAAACACGAATTATTGAATCATTATTCATGGACGTGCTACTTCTACTTAGGGAAAGAAACATGCTGAAGTCCAGTCTTTTGAGAAGTGTAAAAACCAAAGCTCGCATGGGTGGACTTCGCTATGCATTCGTTCTGCGGCCTTACGCTTAAGCTTAGCTGCAGCTTATTAATTTCCTCAAACCGGCAAACGCAGAAAAAGCCTGAAGAGCGCTGTGTAATAGGCCTTGCTGAGAGATCGCGTAATTAGGTGATTTTTCCAAGCATGTAGCTATAAGAAAAGCATAGTAAGCAAATCATGGCGAGGCTCCGGCGTCAACTAGTTCCTAATAGGAGAGTATCACGGAGGAGAAGGAGGAGGAAAGTTTAAGCGGAAAAAACAGGGAGGTTAGCCAGTTCTTAGACCGCCTGGCTACCCTGAACTTGGGAAAGGGGTGAGGGTAATAAAAGATGATAAAAAGAAATGTTGCAAAAAAAGAGAGAGAGAGAGAAATTAGAAAAAAATAGCGATAAAAGAAAGGCAACCTTAAAAAGTATAAGACACTAAAGCCTGTCTCTGAGGCCAGTTGTCCGCAAAAAACACAGCAAAGCTTGATAGCACCCATTTCAACGCACGAAGACAAGAACTGACTGCAGCTCTGGATAGACTGGATGATCGGCCTTTGTCGGAACAAAGGATTCTGGGTGATTTGCCGAGCCCATCCTCAGCCCAGAAGAGTATCACTGAACGCGCATTGAAGAGGTAAGCTGACTTGGTCTATCACGGAACAACACAGCCTTGAAATAAGACTAGAATATAGAATACAAGGGGTTCAAATGCAGGTTCGGTACTTGTTTTCAGCCCCTTTTCAGGTTTTCGCGACAGCCAAGCTTAACATTTTTAAGGGCATGTAAGAATGAGCTTCACGCCCCAGAGCACGTTATTCACATTTTCATACCATAGTTAGATATATATGAAACCACGACTAATTATCCCTCAAGATGAAGACTGCTCCGTGGGTTAGCTGGCATTGTATTTTAGAAGGGTTACAGTGCGCGGAGCGCTGACATGGTGTCATCGCTGTGTCTTGTTCCTTCGTCAATTTGGCTTCAACTATGCACGCTCTATACCATTTCTCTGATCATCATTCAGCGTTGTTGCACTGTTACTAAGAACAAGTATGAAAGATTAGGACGAGTTTTGAGACTCTACCATAGGGTATTTCTTCCAGTTTCCCTCGCTTCCACGAAGCGGCATCATCAATCCATCAGTACATTTCCAGCTTCCGCGTAAGTAAGCACGAAGCACGCGGGTCACCTTTTTCAGTGTCGCAGGCGCCTCCGACTTCAGCGAGCATGAGTGGATCGTATTCGGCGTCGATGACTTCGGCAAGGACGGCGTCCACAATGGGCATCATCATGGCCGTGGTGGCCGTGTTGCATATCCAAGTCGACATGAACATGGTGGTCAGCATGAAACCCAACATGATCCTGCAGAAACCACGTAGGTCGTCTTCACTGAGCAATGCACCGCCGTGGGGTTTTGATTAAGAGAAAAAAGAAGTGTTTGCGCCCTGTCAAACGTATATAGTCTAGTACAACTTTAAAAGGCAACGGACTTTCGCCCTTTATTGTTGATGATCACAGACCTGGAGTAATGAGTGTGAATCTAAATTAACATTGTAAACCGGAGGTTCGGTGGCTCTGCCGTCAGAAGCGCGATGAGACAATTTGCCGCCACACTTCGGTCATCCTTCAGCACCTCTTTTGCCTTGTTCAGTTGTATGCCGCTTATATATAGATGGAAATGAACGCCTGGAAGCTTGAGACCTCCTGGTTAAACCTGTGGTCTATTTGCATAACTTTTTGGTGAGAGGCAGATGCTACGCTCAAGCATTTCATGCTTTATCGATAGGGTTGCTTTAGCAAACCATTCATTCGGTTTGGCAGGTTATATCTGATGTCCGGCATGAAGCGCCATGGTACAGCTTCATTCTTTTTTCTTCTCTCTCTCTCTCTCTTTCTTTGATGTGCGCAAACAAGGATGACCTGGCACCAAAGAACGATGGCGTGTCATATGAGAAGTACAGCACAAATCACGTATCACCACAGAAATGAAATACAGACATCGCAATAGAATAAAGATAAAAATACGACGGTTACAGTGAAGTCAAACAAGTTATCGCAATAACACAAAACATACGTTATAATACCAGAAACAATGGAAAACAAAAAGGCACAGGTTACAAAACTTTACACGCGTCAAAGCTTCAGCCCGAGGATATACCTCACATTTCCTTCTCAATTAACGGAAACATTACTCTACATCATAGTATGTTTCGGCAATATTTTTCGGATTCTGGAGTTTAATTGAGAATTCGAACTTTAACACCGATTCAATATAGTCTCGTTTCATTGCTTTTTATCAGGCTTTCCGTGATGTTTTTGTGCAACGTATATGGGTTAAGCAGATATATCATGTTTCCCCGTGAGTCATCGACACCAAATTTAATAAATGGGAATAAGAGGAACATTTAATTCTCCTTCCACCGACCCAACAGCGCCAGTTTAGACTCACCATAATTTATTTTAGATTCCGTATGTTTCTTCTATAGACACATGGCCAAGGTAGCGGGGTCAAGTATGAGCCATTTGCCTTGCTGATACCATTTGCTCTACGTGTTAAATCACACTGTTTAGTTTGAGAACGCTGAACAAGATCTGCTTTTCAAATGATTTCAGAGATTGCAATTGAAAACCGTTGGAATTATCTGTCATTTATTCTTACTGTGAGGAACTGTGCTATGAACCTTTATGGCGTCTTGAACTACAAGGACAATTTGTAATATGAACTGATTGACTTATGAACATATGTACTTACCACCTAGGATTCGTTCCAACGCAGAGCATCACCCTTAGGGCTATCCTCTTGTGGACGTTGCAATGTTCGATAGCCATCGCCATGATTAGGCTACCGATAAACAGCATGTTTGTTTCCTGGAGAGAAAGCACGCCATGAGGTTTGTTGCATTCATGTTCGAAACGTGGCGCCTTGAGTGTGAGACAGCAGATATTATTTGCTATATGAAACGGTGTGCATTTCTCGATTGTATATATTTTGCGCATTAAACGAAACGCTGGACCGCGCATATAGCTGCACGATTTTCCAAGGGCAGACGTCTGCTACGCGGGAAAAACAAGCACGTATGCATGCATGATGCGTGAGCTAAAGAAGAATTTTTGAATTCAAACAATAGACCAACGCTCGACCGAAATGTTTGAAACGTGACGTTGCATCCTATAGAATAAGTAGATAAGCTATCAAAGAAGGGAACGATGCAGAGAAACTTTTTTTTGGTCCCTCATGTTCTAGTGTAATTGATTTTTTAACGACCGACATTGCGTTACTCATAAGTTCCGTTTTTAAGCCAGAGCATCTAGCACAAAATCGTGACGTAATAAACTGTGACGCTGTTGTAATTCCCTTCAACTTAGCTTCCAATCCCAGAAAACAAGGCAAACCACTTGTTTCCAGCGGTGTACTTGTTTCCAGCGTTTCTTTAAGAAACGGAACACTCGAGCACGTGGCCTGCGCTCTGCGGCGGCTGCCTAGCACCATCAACCGACAACTGAAAAAAGTATGTCCGCTTTAGCCGAAGCTAGATTGCACTCCCACATTGGTCCTGCTTAGGTCCTGCGACTGGCAATGCCGCCAAAAACGAACGTGCTTTCGTTAGCTATCGGTTGGTGGTGCTGTGGGGAGCCGCTGCAGAGCGCAGGTCATGGGCTCGCGTGTTCCCGTTCACAAAGGACATCAATGAACGCAGATCGCCTGCTGTTGGGCACCCGTAGGACTCCCATATAAACGGAGCTCTGACCTGAAGGTAAGGGTAGCAGGCTTCGTCCGTCGGTAGTACGCCCAACAGCGGAAACAGGACAACGGGAAGCAATGCCGTGACAGGCAGCGGAACCGCGTTCGTCATCCAGAACGTAGACATGAGACAGACCACGTAGGCACATCTTGATTCCTGCATTTCAAACAATATAGTCAACTACTATACCTACGGCATTTTTTTCATCGATTTATTTAGTCAAGCCCTCTATTACGGCATCTCTCACAATCATATGGTGGTTTTAGGACGTTAAACGTCATATATCAATCAATTGATTTAGTTTAGTCAAGCGGGAGCGCTTCCTTAGTGCAAATGTATAAAAAATTTTTTCTTCTTTTTTTCCAAGGGAGGTAGTTGCATTTTGCCTGCTTTACTCGATAATGAGAAGCAGCAATGTGATATCCAGCACATTAATAGAAGATGAAACACTCACAGCTATAGCAAGGTTCCACGTGCTTCTCCAACTCGTAGAGAGGGAGAAGTTAACGTTTATTCTCGAAACAGTGCCCCGAGCAATGCCCAGTGTCACCCTGAAGTGGGAGGGCTCCTTAGTCCAGGAACCCTCTCTGGCTTCTACTGCCCTCTTGGCCCTGGCGAAGAGTTGTTTTTTTGGTCTTCTAGGGTCCTCGAGGGCGAGCTTCGCCTCCCACTTTTCGGTTATATTTATTATGCACGGGGTACATCGCATGGGTGTGACAGCGTACACAAGGACGGCGCTGCTTGCCACAAGGAACGGCAACCTCCTTGGCAACTGCGAGGAATCTCGAAGGACGCGAAGTATCGTCAGTGGCATCGCATATCGATGGTGCACGAGATGAGGCTGGCGGAAAACCATCGACGTTATTAAGGCACTCACTGACTTGAACGGCCCCTGAATCATGCGGAGTTCAAAGGCGAGAGAGTAGTTTCGTTCTCGCCTTCACTACCCTTTTGACAAACCGCCATTTCCTCATCGCCCCTTTTTTTCATGAAGCACGTGGAATGTCGGCACTCGGCGTCAGGCCAGTCAAGATTTCGCGCTTGTCGGTTACACGCCGATACCTCCGCTTGCGCTGCCGCAAACGCAGAAAACGAAGTGAAATTTGTTTATCGCACCCGTAGACCATGTAATTCAAGGGAGAACGGGCATGCGACTACACGGTATAACAGGGCAAGTGACAATGCGCAACATATATCTCCAGTATATCGACCAGTCGTGAGCTTATTTGATCCTGATGTCACACGAGCGGGCTGCTGACGTCACGAATTGCACCGCAAGGACGGCAAATGCCAGGAGATGATAACATGCTTGTTTTTGGTATTTTAGGGGCGAAGCTCCTTACGCCGTGGGTCGTATGTCCCGTGTCGTCGTCATAGTCGTAGTAGCCAGTTGCCATTTCATTGCAGGTCAATAAAAACGGTGTCGCAGCATATCCACAAAGTGAATGATGATGAGTGGGACGAAGCGTCCATCAGTCCCTCCGTGCGTCCGTCCGTCCATCGTCCATCCATCCACCCGTCCACTTCACGCCACTCGATCGTCATCATTCACCTCGTGGATATGCTGATTTTTCTGGAGGATATTCAGGGGCCCTTTAAGTAATGTTAGTCCGGCCTGTTGCTCTCAGGGGGAAAGCAGTCGCTCAGCATGAACGCATACACTTGCACACCTTGTTCATGTGAACATGGGAAAGAAGCAGGACGCCATTTAGGTCACCACCAGCCGTTCGTTCACCGAAACGCCTTTCGCCTCCGCGAAGGCCCTCTAGAACAGCTCCCGCGCCAGCTGCATACGTGCCGTCAATAGGCACCCGGCAATGCAGTTTGCAAGAACCGATGGTAGCGGCAAAACACACGTCCTAGCGAATAGACACCGCAAATCCGGGCCCACGCCTGCGTCACCTAGCGAGTATACACGCAGCAAAAGCGGACTTGCCAGGGTACATTTTCTTTAAGGGGCGAAGCTCCTTATAGCGGCACCCGTTCGTCCCTCGAGTCGTAGTAGTAGTCGTAGTGTGTTACCAGTCTTACATTTTGACCTCCAAGGTGGTGCCGGTGAGAGATTTCTTCTGTGCGTTGCTGAACAATACAAAATTCGCAGCGTGCGCGTTAACTAAAAGGCGAATTCTCTTGTCTCTCATTCCCCCTTAGCAGCCATTGGCATGCACATTGAGCACTATCTGAGAAGAAAGGGTTGATACGTTATACTCGCTGGGCATAACCTCCTCGGTTTTAGAAAGCTTTAGCGAGTGTTGGGCCGCAGTGCCATGGATACAGTGAACTAGTATATACCATGAACACGAGGTGGTTAAAGGTGGGAAGCAGACACGAAGCGCAAGCCGTAAGAAAGTGTGCGTCTGCCACCTCTCGTTTAGTCCTTGGAATGTTCACTGGATGGCGGTGCATATGTGGAATATATGATGAAAAGATGCGAGATGGTGGTACTTGGAGTGTTGAATAGATGGACGAACGGACACACAGACAGATGCATGGACGGACTCACGGATGGCTGCACCGACGGATGGACGCATGGGCGGACGCACAGATGGACGTGCGGACGCACGAACAAACGCACGCACGGACGGGCGAATGGACGCACGGACGGTCACACAGACGGACGCATGGACGGACGGAAGCAAGAACGGATGGAGGGACGAATGCTTCGCCCCACTCTCCATCTTCACTCCGTGGATATGCTGCCATTTTTAGGGGCGAAGCTCCTTAGGGCGTGGGCTGTGCGTCCCCTGTAGCCTGTATGTAGCCACCTCTAGTTTAGTTCTTGCAGTGTTCACTAGATGGCGGTACCGTCCCCTGTATGTAGCCACCTCTAATTTAGTTCTTGCAGTGTTCACTAGATGGCGGTACCGTCTCCTGTATGTAGCCACCTCTCGTTTAGTTCTTGTAGTGTTTACTAGATGGTGGTACTTGTAGCTGATGATGAAAAGATGCAAGATGTTATAAACTAGAAAGCGGTACTTGTAGTTGATGAAAGACGCGAGATCTTATAAAATAGGAATGATGTCACACATGGCGCGTGTCATTGGTTGAAGGCAATCGTTCCATTTAGTGCGGCGACGTACGCTAAGGGGGAGCGATGTAATAAAATCGAGTGGGCAAAATGTACAGAGGATTCATGGTTTACCAGGTTTACCTCCGGAGCTTCGCCCACTCATCATCATTCACTTCGTGGATATGGCGGAATTTTTTATTCAGTGGTCAACAAGGGGGTCACGCGTGATTATGGAAGTACCCAGGAAGCGTTCTTTGAGCACGTGCCAAAAATAGCAATGACGCTTCCGCATGTCGATGTGTTCAGCGAGAGTTTCATTTTCATCGTATCCCTGGCGGTCGGTACAAACAATGCTGAGGCGGCCCAAAAGAGCTCCGTCGCGCCGTCTGGTCCAGTGCCGGGTGCCTATAGCGAGCCATCACAACGACGGCGTCGGCACAGCGGGAATTAGCGTTTAGCGTCCGTGTATACTCCATTTTGAAGTAGAGGAAACACGTAAAGAGTTAAGCACAATGCGAGGAACGTTTATTTGGTTCATCCAGTCTGTGCAGGAGCTATAGCAGACGGAGTAGTCCCTAACCGGTTTCTGCGACCACTTCACCCTCAACCAGCACTCTATTAATTCGTACACTCTCGAGCATGCCGCCAAGCCACTAGACCAATACGCTCCGTATTCTTTTTGTACAAACCCCGTGTCACAGGTAGCGGAAGTTAGCATCGAGCGTATATGGGGGCCAGCGGGATGAGATAAGAAAGCGCAGTGCACAAGCGGCGCGTTTACTGCAAAGAAAGCGAGGTACGCTGTATACTGAAGAGCAAGAGCTTGGGGCATGCGATGACCTGCTTTATGACCCGCATGCTAGAGCCGCTTGCGTCGCCAAAAATTTTCCGCCACCAAAACAGCCTTGGCGAGATAAGGCTATTATCTCCAGCCTTTTTGGCACCCCGCAACAAGCGACAGTGGGAACACAAAGTGACAGTTTATTTTCTGCGCGCCGCATTGTGATTAGTGTCGCAGCTAAAACGCAATCACACTGAGGCAGGTCAGTGACCAGACAGGTTAGGACGTGAAAGGCTTACGTGGCTTATGGGATTCCTTTTAATGACGGCATCGACGTAATCCCATTTAATCCCGGCCATGTCGGTCGCATTTTCGATGGACGCGAAAATGCTGGAGTCCCGCGTTCTTAATTTAGGTGCACGACTTCCGAAGTGCTCGACTACGGCATCTTTCATAATGATACCGTGATTTTGGGAAGTTGAACCCCAACAATTATTACGTCATTTCATACAGAATTGTTGAATTTCACATCCATCTGCGGCGTTGAAGTAACTTGTGCAACTATAGCTTCTCCCGCGAAATAAATCAAAATTAGAAGTTTATAAACTTAACCCAGACAACTCCTTACGAGGAAAGTAACAGTCGTCACAGTGAACTAGCAATACACAAAATGAACGTGCGTGCTTCGAAATTTAGCGATAAGAATACATACCAAGTGTCTGAACCAGAAACGTATACTAAATCGATGTTCAGCAATGCTTTGTACTTTCTCATAACGCGCACAGTTAGTACTCGCGCGTAGGAAAATGGAATGACTAACGTGAAGTCGGCTCGTGCAAAACTCATAATCGATAAGTATTCATCAGGCTTTACTGGAGGCACCTGGGAGATTTATGTAGGCATGAAGACTGTTGAAGAACATCTAGACTGTGAGCCAGTTTCATAGCCAAAAATGGTTCGGTCTAACACGCGCTACAGCACATACGAGGTTGAAAGTTATATAATAAAGAGACCAAGGACTCTGGGAAGACCTTTCAATACCTTCAGATGGAAGTCCATGAGAAGTACCGTGATTCTAAAGGCATCCGGCGTCACAAACTACAGGTTTGGGGCCACCGAGCTCTAAATAGCAAAACGATGAACACGACGAAGTTATCATAATGTAAAGAGAAAGTGAACTTCATTATATAGGTACAACTGCACCTCTGCGAAAAGCTGTCATTCATAATATATATATGATTAAGTGGTAATACATGTGTGCGTTTTATAGTAAGATTTGTGGATACACGGATTCTCGGCTACCGTACAATAACCGAAGCCACGTTGCATGTAGGATACATTAATTGCATCGGTATGTCATTTTTT